GTGAAAACTGTAAAATTTTACAGTTTCAGTTTTTTTTTTTTTTTTTTGGTGTTGAAATGAATCATTGTTTAAAATTGTAAAATTTTACAGTTTCATAACTTTCTTTAAGACTGTAAAATTTTACAATTTCATAACATGTTTTTCAGTTTTATTAATAAGAATAAATACTTAATAGAATTATACTTTGAAATTGTAACATTTTACAATTTCAAAACTTGCTTTTCAGTTTGATCAATATTGAAAACTATTTGCTTAAACTCTACAAAAATTGAAAATAACATATGTTTTTTTATTTATTTTTTTATTTTTATTGTTGTTATTTGTTGTTCTTAGGTTTTTTTTTTCTTCGTTCAGTTTATCAATATTTAGCATATTTTTCTATGCTTTTTCATTTTAATTTTTCAGTTTATTCTTCTTCTTTTTTTTAGCTATATTTTAGACATTCCAGTGAGTCTCCGGCATTATTGTTGACGTCCAACAAACATTCTAGACATTCTAATGACTTCCAGTGACGTCCAAAACATTCCGGCAATACTCTGGCAAATTTCCAGTGATATTCAGCGACTTTCCGGTGATGTTGAACATTCCGGTGAGTCTCCGATGACCGTCTGACAAAAATCTGGCGGTGATGGGATGTAGCAGCGTCTTCAAAAAAAAAAAAAAAAAGAATTTTTTGGTAACAATTAAAAATATATAGGACTAATTGGTGCAAATATTTTGTTTTGGAAACTAAATGGATTTTGAACTTTGTGTATGAGACTTATAAGTAAGTTCCCCATAATTTATTTTGTTCAACTGTGAGGGTAGATTATTTATGAAAAAGAATCATATAATGATTTTATCAAATTTGTCGGCAAAAAAGTAGATGGTGTATATTTAAAATTATTATTTTTATTTATTTTTTGCAGACAAAAATCATCAAAAAATCATCAAAACATGTGGATATGTTAATCGGATCAATTAATTTTTTCATACATGATCTACACACATAATTGAATAAAATGAACAACTCAAATCGTTTAAATGAAACATGTGTCAACTGTAGAGAAGTCAACCTCTTTTTAATTAATGTGATCAACAACAGTATAAAAAGTCAACCTCTTTTTTATTACGACAATGCTACGTAGCTCAAATTTTGTGGCTCAAAAGTGGTTCAAATGGCCAAAACGACGTTTTGGCCATTTGAGCCACTTTTGAGCCACAAAATTTGAGCTACGAGACATTTTCCTTTTTGTTAATGTGATCAACAACAACATAACCATTTGACATATTTAGTCCCCATTTCAGAAGTTGGTTGGGACTAAAAAAAGTACAAAAAGATAAAATAGACTAAATAAGTCAATAGGACAAAATGTTATATCCAAATCATAATCATTTTACCTTTTTTCTCACAAAAAAAGTAAAAAAATTTTAAAAATCAAAAAGTTCTTCCCAAACGAAACTAATTTAGTTAGGCTAAATTAGTAAAAAAAACTAAAAAATTAAACTAAAAAATTCTTCCTAAACAACCGTAACAGTATGAATAATACTAGGGATCATGAAAAAAATATCATGAAATGCATCATGAAAATTTTTCATCATTTGATTAATGTGTGGTGTTTTATTGTACGTGTAATCTAAAGGTGAAAAATCTTTCATAATCGTTTTTATGATATTTTTTCATGATTCCTAACATTATTCTATACAGTAGGGAATTTTTGGGGGCATTTTAATCACCAAACCTCAGAAGGGTTCACTCATGTATTTAGCTTTGGAAAGCAAATTTCAAACGGTCAAAATTTTGATTTGTCCAAAGTTAGGTATAATTCATTTAAACTTAAACAGTTAGAGAGAGGGATGAAAGAGTTAACTAGACAAATGTAAGGTAGTTTTACATTAACTTGCTAGGCCTCTCATGAAAATTATTTTGCTCATTCACTTTATATTATACCTATTTTAATGGGAACTTACATTTAAATCCTACTAGATGTACTTATTGTCCAATAGATGCACTTATTTTTTAGCGATAATTTAAAAAAATGGTCATAATTTTTATTTTTACTAATTATTAATTTTTAACGACAGATTCAAAAAATCATCACAAAAGTATTTTTTTAGCAACGATTATGATAGGACCAACTTTCAGGGACGAATTAATAAGACTTAATGAGAATTAAGTTTAATTTTAAGACTGCTGTTAATTTATCTAATTTTTATTCATTTTATATTGAGTGAATACCTATTTTTTATTATCTTTTCTTTCGCTTGAATCCATTACTTTGTATATGCAAAAGAACCAATTGAACAAAACCATACTACATCTCTCACTTATCTTGGTAGTCCCAAAAATCCGAACTAGTAAAAGAAGTCAAGGTCGCAATTCATTTTGATTTGAAAAGTGAGTAGGCATTTGCAGTTTGCTTTTCTGTGACTTTCTAATTTTTTTTGAATTTTTAAAAGCCTTTTGACTTGATACCTTCGAGAAGTTGTTATAAAACCATTTTTTTTATTGAGTGAAAAAATGAAGGGTAAATTATAAATACACTTTTAAAATCTGATTAAAATATGAATCGCTTCTTGTGGTATTGGAAATTATATTTCACCTTGAGATTTCTAATTTCATAATAAATCGTCTTTTATTTAATAAATCATCAAGTCAATTAATAGTTTTTAATGATGTTGAAATATATATGTTTCAATTAATAATTTATGTATTTTAATTATTATATAAGAGAGCAATTATGAATTTTATTTGTTTAGTTAATTTTGTTAAATAAATTTTTTTAATAAGGGAGTATTTGTAATTTTCTAAATCACAGGAGACAATTTGTAATTTAAGTAAATCTCAAAAATATATTTGTAATTTATCCAAAAATTATTAATGTTACATTTAGTAACTACAGGTTGGGTATTTGAAAAAGTCTCATTCTTATATAGAAAACGATGGCATTTTTTTTTGTTAGTAACTACAGGTTGGATATTGAAAAGAAGTCAATCAATAATGGGAAACTAAATATCAGTCCCACCATATATAAATAACCTAAATGCCACCACCAAACATATCCAACTTCACCCTCTATCTCTCTGTAGATGTCCATCTTTCTCTCTTTCTCTCATATCAACTACCAAAGACAAATGACATACAAAATCCTAGCATGTCTTTTTTTGTACCCTCTCTTTGCAGTAGTTTCAAGCGAATGTGAAACTTTGAAAATCGCACCGCCGTTTCCCAAGCCTGAGGCCAATTACAAAGATGTAGAAATCGTGAATGGTGTATGTGCTAGACTTTACGTTCCCAAGTCTGCCAATCCTAATCAAAAACTTCCTCTCGTAGTTTACTTTCATGGCGGAGGCTTTGGCATGTACAGCGCCTTCTTTCCTCCCCACGATTCTTACGTTTATTCTCTTGTTAAGAAAGCTAATGTTGCTGCATTGTCTGTTGACTATAGACAAGGCCCGAAGAATCCTCTCCCCATTCCTTATGATGATTCATGGGAAGCAATCAAGTGGGTTGCTTCTCACTCTGCCGGACATGGTCATGAGGAATGGCTAAATAACTATGTTGATTTTAAACGAATTTTCTACTCTGGAGATAGTGCAGGTGCTAACATTGCATACAACATGGTCATGAGAGCAGGTTCAGAGAAATTAGATGGTCTCAATGTTAATGGAATTGCTCTAATCCACCCATATTTTTGGGGAAGCAAACCAATTGGAACTCATGAATCCAGCGATGCTACTTCGAGATTAGAAGCAGACAATATTTGGTTGATTAATTCACGAAATGCATTTGGATTGGATGATCCAAGACTTAACCCACTTGTGGATCCAAAGTTGTCCACCCTTGGATGTAGCAAGGTTCTAGTTTTAATTGCTGAGAAAGATATATACAGAGATAGGGGTTTCTATTACTATGAGGCATTGCGTACAAATGGGTGGAAAGGAAATTTGGAAATTATGGAGACTCCAGGGACACATGTCTTTCAATTGAACTTTCCAGATTCAAAATATGCTCAAGAAATGCTTGAACGAATATCTTCTTTTGTGAACAAACCCTAGTCCGGCGACTTCTTAGCTGCTTGCCATCTTTAATATACAAGCATACCTTCATTTATGTATTCTCATATAATTGTTGATATTTTCTTGTTATTTGTTCATATTTGTTCACTTATATAAAAGTTACTACGCATGAATATGGTTACAGTAGATGAGTGGCTTTGAACTTTTCAGCTTGTTTTCGAAAATATGAAAAAATAATAAGAGAAAATTTACTTTACTCTCCAGTACTTTTGCATCAAAACACTTTATTACCTTATAGTTCAAATATTCAATTACAATTTCAATCGCAAAAACAAGAGTGACAACTACAATTTCAGCATCTCAATACCAATCCGCCACAAAACTTCGTCACCCAAATCCCAAAAAGCATCCCTACAGAATGCACATATCAGCAAAGCAGAGTAGAGCACATTAGCAACTAGATAAGAACACACGGAAGAAGCATGAAAGCAAAGAAATATACACAAAATTTAAACCACCAGCACCCCTACAAGGATTATAAAGATTGACAATTGGAATTATTGAATTGGCAGTTTGAGTTACAAGTAATGTTACGCATCATGAAATAAATATTTTGAAAAGTTTTATGAAATTAATCTAAGGGTGATTGTATAACATATAATAAAACACTACAAACTAATTCAAGGGTGGAGAATCTTCATGAAGGCTTTTCATGATATTTCTTTCATGACGCTTAGCATTATTGTTGAGCTACCCCCCGAACTAAGCTAACTAAAAGCCTACAAGTAAACAGGGGCAACACGAAGAGGCTGAGCCTTTTTCAAAGTAAAGCCAAACTTCTCCTCCATGTTCATTTCCTTCGGAGAAATCCCATCTACAAGCTTCCAGTCAAATGAGTATATGAGCGAACCCAACATCAAGTGAAGCATCCTCATCGCTAATGGCAATCCAGGACATATTCTTCTTCCTGCACCAAATGGAACGAGCTCAAAATCCTGTCCCTAAACATCAACTTGTGAACCCAAAAACCTCTCAGGCATAAACAAGTTTGGACTTTCCCATGTACTTCGATCACGGCCAATACCCCATGCATTCACAAGCACTTGTGTACCCTTTGGAACAGTGAATCCACAAACTTCAATATCTACTTCAACTTTGCGAGGAACTAACAATGGAACTGTTCGGTGTTTCCTAAAGGTTTCTTTGACAATCGCTCGCAAATATGATAACTGAGGGATGTCTGATTCTTTGACTTGTTTGCCTTTGCCAATTGTTTTCTCAAACTCCACTCGTGCTTCGAATAATGTCTTTGGGTTGTGTAGTATCTCGGCCATTGCCCATTCCATTGTGCTTGAAGTTGTCTCTGTCCCCGCAATAAATATGTCCTAAACAAACTAATAGAGTAATGTTATACAATTGCATAACACACAATAAAACACTACAAACTACTTCAAGGGTGGAGAATCTTCATGAAGGCTTTTCATGATATTTCTTTCATGACGCTTAGCATTATTGTTGAGCTACCCCCGGAACTAAGCTAACTAAAAGCCTAGAAGTAAACAGGGGCAACACGAAGAGGCTGAGCCTTTTTCAAAGTAAAGCCAAACTTCTCCTCCATGTTCATTTCCTTAGGAGAAATCCCATCTACAAGCTTCCAATCAAATGAGAATATGAGCGAACCCAACATCAAGTGAAGCATCCTCATCGCTAATGGCAATCCAGGACATATTCTTTTTCCTGCACCAAATGGAATGAGCTCAAAATCTTGTCCCTAAACATCAACTTGTGAACCCAAAAACCTCTCAGGCACAAACAAGTTTGGACTTTCCCATGTACTTCGATCACGGCCAATACCCCATGCATTCACAAGCACTTGTGTACCCTTTGGAACAGTGAATCCACAAACTTCAATATCTACTTCAACTTTGCGAGGAACTAACAATGGAACTGTTCGGTGTTTCCTAAAGGTTTCTTTGACAATCGCTCGCAAATATGGTAACTGAGGGATGTCTGATTCTTTGACTTGTTTGCCTTTGCCAATTGTTTTCTCAAACTCCACTCGTGCTTCGAATAATGTCTTTGGGTTGTGTAGTATCTCGGCCATTGCCCATTCCATTGTGCTTGAAGTTGTCTCTGTCCCCGCAATAAATATGTCCTAAACAAACTAATAGAGTAATGTTATACAAATTCAACTACCTAAAATTTTATTGAGCATAAAAATAAAATAATAAACTAACTAAAAATTTTGTCCAAATTTCAAAATAACACACACTACATGAAATTACACTTTCCGCGACTAACGTTTTGGTCGCGAAAAGTACCATATTTGGTCGCTAAAATCTTTTTGCGACCAAAATGTGTTGGTCGCGAGTTGGTCACTAAAGCCTCGTCAGATAGTTTTCTGTGACCAAAGTTATAGTTGGTCGCTAAAAGGGACCATTGGCGACCAAATAATTGGTCGCGGAAAGTCCAATCCATATTAGCCAAAAGGTAACTTTTAGTGACCAAAGTTATAGTTGGTCGCCAAAAGTCAGCACCTTCACCCAAAGGAAAATATTCTTCTGTGTTGCCTGGGAGTTGAACTCCTGACCAATGAGTCACTCTCCATGCGCCCAATTCACTCTGCCAGTAACACGTTGATTCTTCACATTTGACAGAGAAAATATATAACCCATAAAAATTGGGTTATATATTATTTCATAAAACCTTCAATGCCTAAATAGAAAAATAAAATGTAATTACAGTAGTACCCGTTTTTTAAAAATTTATCCCACCATAACTTTCCGTGACCAACTTATTTTTTAGTTGCCAAAAGGTGATATTCCGCGACCAAATTTGTAGTTGGCCACCAATAGTTAAGTCATTCGCGACCAACTTATTTTTTGGTCACCAAAAGGTGATCTTCTGCGACCAAATTTGTAGCTGGTTGCCAATAGTTAAGTCATTTACGACTAGCTTATTTTTTGGTCGCCAAAAGATGACCTTCTGCGACCAGATTTGTATTTGGTGGCCAAAAATTAGCTATTAGCCACCAAAAAATTGTGGGTCGCGAAAACATACCCATCAGCGTTCAAAAAAAATTTAGTTGCAGAAAGTAGACTATTTGCGACCAACTCAAAATAGGTGGTCGCTAAAAGTGTTTTTTCTTGTAGTGACAACAATCATGAGTTGTATCATGCTAGACCCATTTTTTTTCTTTTTGGTGAATAATTTTGTATGATTAAAAAAATTTCAAACTAAAACATCACTACAACAAATGACACTTTTGACGGCTAGATTTTTTGTTGCTAAAAATTGGAAATTTAGCCACCAAAGGTTTATGGCAAACTAAATCATTTAGTCGGCAGATTAGTCGGTGACCAATTGTTGGGAAAAATATATAGTGACTAAGCTTCTATTTGTCACCGATACACAACAATTGGTAACTAAAATTTTAGTTGCCAAAAGTTTTTAAATAAAACGTTTAATCACTGATAAGTTTTGTCGCATCATTATTACATTTAGCGACAAAACAGTCTAGTCGCTAAAAATGTAAGGATATTTTTTTTTGTAGTGCAGAGATGACATTTTTTTTTGTGACGATTTTTTTATGTACTAACATGACCTTATATGGAAATAAAAAGTAAAAAAATATCATGTACTAAAAAAAGTCAAAAACAAAAGTCCATAATTTCAATATATAAATATAAATTTGGTTTAGTGTAAAGCTATAGGGTTTGCAAGAATTGGTTTTGCTTCGATTAACACTAAATTTAGAAACTAACCAATCATGATCAGTTCCAAAATTTTGAATATGGGACCGAACCAATCCTCTAATAGAATGAAACGAATCCAATGTCATATAGCTTGGGTGGTGACTAAGCTAGTTACCGAAGCTCATTGATGGTCGCTTGTGACTGGTCAGATTTCACTGATGGTTGGTTGGTTGGTTGATTGGTCGACGATTGGTGGTGGGTGGAGTCATAGTTCACTGATGGTTGGTTGGTCAGCTGATTGGCTGACGATTGGCAGTGGGTGGTGGTGGATGGGGAGGAGAGAGTGACAAATTATTTTGAAAAGGAGTAAAAACATTTCTTTTCAAAAAATTTAAATTAATTTCACTTTTTTTAAAACAAAAATAATATACGTGACAAATTTTCATTTCTAGTTTTAAAAAAAATGAAAATAAAAAGTAGGCATGTTTGGAAACATTATGTATATAATTTTTCTATTTATATTTATAAAATATTTAAAATTTGTAAATAAAAACTCGTATGGTGTCTATTTTTATTTAAAAATTTTGTAAATAATTTACAAAATTTAATAAATTCTTAGAACTATGAAAAAGTTAGTTTCATTTGTTTAAAAACAAAGTTTTCATTGTTTCCTCCTTTACCCACCACCCACCGATCTTCAACACTATTGACTACCGTTTCTAACCAATATCGCCGATGACCTCTTCCGGCCACCATCTCTCACTATTAATAATCACTTTTGGCTGCCAACCACCAACTCTAAAGATTAACAACCACCTTTGGTTGCTAACAACGAACTCTCATGAGCGATAATCCACGTTTGACCACCATTTTTTTGCCGGAAATAACCTTTGACCACACTACAAAAAAAGTTACTTTTAGCTACTAAAATATTAGTAGCCAATTGCCTGTTTTTTGGTCGCTAATGACATTCTGCGACCAAAAATTTTGGTCGTTACATTTGTCGCCAAAACCCTATCAGGAAAGGTCTTGGAGGGTTTTGCTGACCAAAAAACCTTTGGTCGGCAAAAAGCAAGTCTTTAGCGACCAAAATTTTGGTCGCCAATAGTCAATTATATTTCTTTAAAATCATACATTCACCGACCAATGTTTTAGTTGCCAATAGTGAAGGAAACGCCGACCAACACCTTTAGTTGCCAAAAGCTTCAAACATGAAAAAAAAATATATATTGATTCGTTGTAGAACAATTTGATCTGCTCTTGCGAAAACTCGAATCGCCAACCTCCTGCACCATAAACCTTATGCACCACACTCTTCCCACTACACCTCTATAGCATCACATGATTATATATGCAACATATATTATTTATATAGTACATACATCCATATTAATATAAACGTATATGTATAAACATAATTATTTTATTGAATATAATTTATGTAAAATAAACTATTTACTAGCAAAATAAAAAAAGACCACTTTTGGCGACTAAAAATATTTTTTATTCGCCAATTCTATACTTTTGGCTACTAATTGTTTTTTAGTCACTAAAAAACTTAACTTTTGCCGACCAAAGTCGAATTTGGTCGCCGAAGATGCATTTTCAGCTACGAAAATTTTGGTCGCCAAAAAATTTAATTCCCGCCTGAGGATTTTAGTTCTCCCGCGCTAAAAATGACCACTTTTGGTGACTAAACTTATTTTTTAGTCGCCAATTGTAGACTCTTGTCTACTAAAATTTTTTTAGTCGGTAAAACCCATATAATTAGCGACCAAACTTATTTTTAGTCGAGATCGTCTGAGTCGTCATAGAGATTGTGTAACGCACGAGGTGACATCGTGAAATGAATCTAGTGAGTTATCCCTGGTCCGTCGGATTTCAAGGAGTCGTTAAAAGTGTTGCAAAGAGAAGTTGACGATCATTTAGAGGTCAGTTGCAAATGGATAGAAACTAGTTGCAGCCAGAATTTCCTAATGGTTTTACAAATGTAATCATCAGGTTGTAAAATCAGTGTTGTGGACATTCTAAGACTGAAACAGTTGATAATAAGAGGCAAATTCTGTAGTATAAAGAAAATTTTGAGTGGTTTCTAAATAAAATAATAAATTTTCATTAATCATGGACAGTGGTTACATAACGCTCCCTTAATTTCCATGGCATGAAGGTGTAAACCGTAGTAAAAATTTTTCATTTAATCGATGACCAGTCGGCAAGCCCCAAATTTTTCACTTGAGGATTTTTTGGATGTGAATAATTTCATTGATGATAACACACTGAAATCTAAAACAATAACCAAATCCCTTACTGCTGTCTATGTGGATCCCATGGTGCCAAACTGGGACATGTCAGACAACCCAATGCATTTAAAAAGCCTAATTTCAGCAAACTTTAATCTATCTAATAGGTTACCAGGTGGTATGATTGGTTCGGTTTTGAGATAAACTAAGCCCAACCCATCATAAAACGTGATTCAATTTATGTGGAATACACAGTTTCATGAAGTTTGTCATAATTACAACAAATCACTACTTGCTCAAAATCAAGTAAATCTAAACACAAATAGTTTAAATGATATTTAGAGCTAGTTCTACTATATTCAACGAGCCAGGGACCTGTGGGGTAAACAGACGGGGGGGGGGATGGGGCGGGGGTGTGACAACTCGGGAGTGGAGATTGAGCTGAGGAGGGAGGGGGGATACTAATAGAGGATTAAGGGGTTGGAGGTGGTCACCTAGAAATACAAAGAGAGTAGTAGTGGTGGGTGAGTATATGTATATATTTGAAGAGCGGGTGGGCCGGGGGGGTTTGGGGGGGTGGGGTTGTAAGCTGAATATAAACTATAAAATCATAGACCAACCGTGAAATACTGTCACCTATTTTAAGAGTCAAGATCGAACCATAGATTGAAAAAAATCAAATCAAGCGTGCTTTAGATATGGATATAAACCGATTGCAATTTTTCTGGTTTTATGTTCAGCCTATATAAGAATAGAATACATCTTATTTTCAAATAATTTTAAAAAGATGATAGATATATTTTCTTTAGAAAAATTATATTTCAGAGATAGTAGGGTAAAAAAATAACATTTTATGATGTGCAACTCTCATGTGTAATGGTATTAAAATTATTAATCATAGCTTGGTGCAACTCTTCACGTGTCAGAATTGCACAGAAAATACTTCTGTGCAATTTATTTATGATGTCCCATTTATTTCACATATCCTATTTTCTTTCTACAAGATCCTTAATGCTGTGTTTGGTTGGAGGTTTTTGGAGGGATTTGGAAAGAGAAATAGAAAAGGTAGGTGAAATGTAAATAAAATATGCCTATTTTCACCCAGTTTCACAAACATTTTTCCTTTCCTTTCCAAATCCCCTCCAATCCCCTATACCAAACACAGCATAAGTATGTTTGGA